TTTAAATCAATAAATCTTCAAAACTACTGAACTGAAGCTCATGTATTTTCCATCATTATAAACAGAATTGAAAGACCTTTAGAATAAGGTATCACTCGACCCCCTTTTCCACTTAAGATGTTAGGGTTGGTGTCACCCCCGCCCAGGGGCTGCACGTGATAACGTGATTTTTTACCATACTTGTGTCCCCCTCGAAAACAAAATCGACGGGTCTGAGCGTTTTTCCAAAAAAAAAAACTGAGCTGCCAGTAAATGCGTCTGTTTCGTTTTCGATGCGCCACCCTGTATACAATTATAATGATGAAAATAATTTATTGGTGTTTGCACAAGTCAGCTAAAGTATATAAAACGTAAAAGAATAAGTGAAAACAACAAACAATACGTTAATGGGACTAACATGAAACACAAAGTGGCAGTAAATGCTAAATAAAGAGTTAATAAAATTAAAGTTAAAATTACGATTACTAATAGAGTTAGTTAAAAAATTATATACCAGCTACAATAAAAATTATGCCAGGCTGTCAAAATTTCGTACAGAAATACTCATTGTCTGAGCTTTGTTTTCATTTAATGTCAGCCCGTTAATAACAAACCAGCTTCAAATGTCCCCCCTGCGTGCTGATGATTCGTTGTCTAGGTTTTGTAAGGTGCTGTGAGTTGAAAGAAGAGTAGTGTCATCAGCATACAGGAATAGTTTGCTACTAGTACCGTTACTGAGACAATTTTGTACGTCATTTATGTATAGCGAGAATAACAGTGGTCCAAGTACAGATCCTTGAGGAACCCCATGCAGAATTGTGGTGAAGCTTGCTTGCTCAAGCAAGACCTAAAGTTCAACTTTCTAATTGACAAATACAATTTACAGATGGAGAGTGGATTATACAGTGGTTATGGAAGGCCAGGAACAACTACAACACTAGACAGACATTTCAGTAGATCGCAGCAGCCTAGCATTCCAGCTAGATCGTTATCAACTCAACATATCACAACTTCCGGTAAGATATTCCACGAAATATAGAATTTTAATTAAGCGTTTCAGATTTTGTCAAGAGAGACCTCACCAGGAGACTGGAATTTCATATTTCTGATCGATCATCATTATCTGTTATTTGCACCATATGATAAGCGACCATGCCTAATTGTTCGCGATACAATTCAGAATTATTCCTACTCCAATAGCAATGGCCAAACCACAGCCGACGTCAACTACGAGCCGTGATGAAAGAAAGGCAACACCGCGCTCGGACAGCATGGTAGTGCTACCTGTGAACGTCGGCCGCCAGGGGCTGTGTGCTCCGTCTCCGTGTTTAGGTTTTTAGAGATAGCATGTGAAGCATATCCAAATATCTATGTCACAATTGGCTAAGTAATTTGTCTCAAATACTTCATTGAATATATTCAAAACTTCAGGATTTTGTTTGGTATCCAAGAAATCAAAATTTTCTTGAGTTTCTAAGCAGTTTTGGAACCTTGTTTTAATTTCTGCTAAAGAAAATGACGATTTCTTTTCATTGAAATAATTATCTACAAAATTTACATTTTGTCTTTCAAATGAATTTGGATGCAATGTTTTATAATTTAATTTATATGCTTTCTTAACTACAGCTTCTTTTTCCAATTGATATACAGCACGAATGTTTTCAAATTTAGCATACTGAATATCAATATTGTCAAAATCAGGATATACAAAAGTTTTGTCTAGGTTTTTTAAATTAATCCAATTATTTCTGATACTCTTAAAAATATGCACAACATCATAAGTTAAATATATGTTCTTATCAGGATTATGTGGATTTGGAATAGAATAATTTTCTGTTATGAATCCTTTGCTAATTTCCTGAACATTGCTCTATTAATTCGGTGATTATCAGTAACAACACAAATGACTTCAAATCCACAATTTTGAACTAAATTTATCACATGTTCAACCAAAGGTGTCATTTCATCACCCGTTAGCTTTGAAACTGGTAGTAATTTGATAATTTCTGTTATGTTTCCAAATGCTGAAGATAGCATGAAGGCTAAAACAGTTTTAGCCATGTCATTTTTATTTGAGGCATACCCAACAATGTTTTGTGAGCGATAGTCCAGCCTAGATGTTATATAAATTTCATCGATCATCAAAATTACAATTTTTTCTCTTGGAGCTAATTTAATTGCTATATTCGAAAGGTAGTGTTCATTATTCCTATCATTTTTTGGAGATATATCCATACTTGAGGATATATGTTGTAAGGATCGCTTACTTGGCAAAATAAAAAATCTTTTAATTAAATTATATGTTGATGATGAGTGGTTATAAAACGTAAAAGCCATTATTATTGAAAGTGATGCATATCTGTTTTTCCTGTTTTGAATTTGTCTCAGCTGATCAGCAATAATCTCTAGATTTTTTCTATATGGAAACATAACTGAGTCATTATTAATTATGGAAATCGCTGTGTCAAGTTGTTCCAATGCATTCATGATGCAAACTTCAACAGAGTTTTTGTGTTGGTTCTCAGAAAAATAGAAAAAATACCTATTTAGCAGGTTTTCTAATTGGGACCATCTGGTAACTTTGAGATCATATGGCAAAAACCACTTCAAGTCACTAAAAGAAAGCTTACATCCTTTATGAACAACCTGAACTTCCATCTGACCATCAACTATAATCTGTGTATTCAAAGTTAAGATATCATTTTCAAAATCCAATTTATAAAAATATAGCTTTCCATCAGATAATTTATTATTCCATTTCTGTGAGGCTTTTGATTTTTGAAAATGAAGAATGTAATTCTTGAAAGTCTTTGATCTTATCCATATCATCGAAATTCTGGATAGCCTTTCCATGTTTTTTGTTTTCTTTGCATTGGGTCAGTTCTTTTGGGTGCTTCAGTTTTTGAAAGATATGATGGCAAGTTTGTGAAAATGGAGGGAACAGCATTTTCTATCAATTTTGGATATTTCAAAGGTATATTATTTTGGACTGTTCCATCTGCCAAAACTATATTTTCTGTCCTGATGATATCCGATTCTCTAAAATGACGACTGCACACAGCTGAATATTTTGAAGGTGTCCAATTTTTTCTGGGAATTGCCATAAGCCATTTGTTTTTCAGACTTTCGGTACTTGGGAAGCGAAAAGTTGAAACATAGCTTTCTGTTTTCAAAGCAGAATTATAGTTTGCATTGCATAAAGGAACACAGCAACAACGAGGCATATTGTCTGCGTCAAATACTTGATAAATGAAAAAAGAAAAATACAACCTGAATTTGCACGTTTTCAATAGTTGAAATCGTTAGCGTCCTGAGGCGCGAACAGCCACAGTCTCACTTCTTAGTTTATTTTTAAAGCACAGAAGTACCACAACTGGAGTCTATTTCTCATACATTATAGTCACCGACCACTTTGAACACATACACACACTTTGAAGCTTAGAAAACAAGCTTATCTCTTAATTACAGCCTCTGGGATTCCAAAATCACAAAATGAAAAGGTTATGTTTTCTCAGCGTTTTGTGCACGAGTTGCGTCGATGCAGCAAGCAGCGGCGGGAGTAACACTACTACCTACGTTGCCAGATTTCTTTGTTCACGGCTCGTAGTTGACGTCGGCTGTGGCCAAACTTTAACTTTGAATACTGGACCACATTGAAAAGATAAACACTCATAATGAGGGCTGAGGCACATTTGTCGATACATGTTTTTGGCAATTATTATTGTTTGGCAGGTAATTTCCCGGATATCCAATACATTTTCGGAATGTGGTGCTTGAATACCTTAGGATTTACCTCCCACCGTGACTATAATCATCAGGGATCGATTTTGCGTCTAATGCAGTTAACGAAGGAAATATTGTTAGGAAAAACCTGTTTGTTCTACTGCTTATCAATATTCAATTTGCAGCACTGAGTAGTTCGAGATCCCCATCAATGCGACGGATGCGACAGCTGCTAGATCTGGATACTGTGAGAGCAGGAGCGCCCAGTCCTGTACCTACGCCTAGTGGAACCCTTCCCAGAGGCCAGAGGCAGCTGGACATCAACCCTGCCGAGTTCCTTAAATACAAGATCGACAAACCGGGGATGGTTGGAGGATCTTCCATTACAGGTAACATTTTCCAAATTGAAGGTAGACTAAAAACATTTGTCATCTGGAATTTAAAGTTTCAAACTTTTCCTATACGATAACGCGGTTTCACCTACAGGGTTTGTCCTCAAAGTAATAGGACAAGAAAATGAGTCCTATTACTTTCCGGACAAACCCTGTGGATGTGTAGGGACATTTTAACATTCATTTATCCGGTATCTTGTTTTAGGTTTACCACAGCTGACTGCTGGCCCTGGTAGCTTAGTCTCAGCTGTCGATGAGCCAGTCAGTGGTATGCTTTGGGTGCATCTCTTGGCCGGTAGAGGACTTAGAGCGTCTGCTGGCACTTCTGCCGCCACCACACCTGTAACACCCAGTGGAACGTCACCTAGTATAACAGGTAAGGTGATTTCTTGGCATTTTCTGATTCCAATTGATATTTTCATTTGAGATTGCGGTCGTTGTCAACAGAAGTCAATCTGCTTGAAATCTGCATCACACAGTCAGTGCTTATAGAAAAAAGTATGGATATATACTTTTAGAATAAGGATCTTTGCTCACTATACTTATCGTAGCATTATATTTTTTTTGAAACACTTGATTTTCTTTTTAATAAATCCCTCGAGAAAAAATGTTACATATAAGACCCCCCCTTAAAATGCGGTCCTGTGTACTGATGTTTCACTTTTGGTCACGACTTGTGAATCACCCTGTATATTATTTGGATCTCACAGTACAGACCATGGAGCTTAGTTTAACTGGAGGGACAATGAGTTTTTGAAGGCATAGGAGGAGTGATATGATTCTTTTTGTGGATTTTGATCCAAGAGTAGCTTTTTCAACTAACTACAACACAATAATACCATAGAGAGTTAGTCATTTTGACAGTTATATCAACAGTTGCATACGACAGAACGCAGTCGTTTCAGTTGATATATGGGTTGCATTATGCTGAACACGACCTTAGTAGGATATAGTGTGATGGAATTGGACAAAAAAGCAGAGAGTCAATCTCCTTGACCAAACTGTTTCCTTTTTTAAAAGTGAGCCCCTATCGAGCTATGTCAAATCTATTTTGGGAAGACAGCTTTCTTTGCTTAGAACAAAAGGCAATTTCACCCTCCTTCGAACACACCGGGGTGCTCTTATGTAACTTAAAGTATTTCCTTTTACAGGTTCAACAGGTCTTCGTGACCTGTATTGTGTTTTGGAATGCGACAGGGTCCACAAAGCGAGGACAGTGGTGAGTACACTTCGTGTGGCTTTTCTTTTTGGCTATCGGCAACCAAAGACGCAGTATCAATATAATAGGAAAAAGGAAGTCAATATTTCATATTTTGCCTTATTAGCTTCATTAGATAGTTCTTATAAGTTTCCTCTGGGGTGCTAAAAGGAATGTCTATGTAAGTAAACAGGGTTGAAAGAAAAACATGTTTTTAAAAAAACAAAAGTCATGTTTTTTGTTGAAAACTGCTTTTTCTTGTTTAAACATTCAAATTTAGCTGAAAAAAAACATGTTTAAAACAATGTTAATATATGTTTAAAACAGTGAAACAAAATAAAAAACTATCGCCTATACAGGGTGTTTCAGTTTATTGTTGCATAACTTTAAGATTCGATAGGACTTTTAAAATTAATGCATAAAGTCTATATAAACATGGGTCGAAAAATGCGTGGCTTCCGAAATACAGGGTGTTTAAATTACTTTCTAAAACAGTTTTTTTAAATATTTCGAACAATATTTGACGTATAACAGTGAAAATTGGTATACAAGGGTTTTTTGGTATGGCAAAACGAACCATGGGCATAGTTTTACTGTAGCCGCTAGAGGGCGCTCTGTACTGTACCTGTAGTGTATTAAAATGACCGAAAATTTTTTCTTAGACCAATTTTTTGCTGTTTGAATAAAAAAACTTTTTCTTCGCACTTTTCTGCATAAAAAAGATCTCCTGTGAGTTTTCCTTATAGTTAGCCGTTTTTGAGATATTTCGATTCTTAAGGTTCGATGCATTTTTAATTATTTATGGGAAAATAATATTTTTTTTTACATTTTCGATTTGGGCATTACAAGTAATTAAGATGTGTGTGTTTTTAAACACAGCAATAATTCCTAACTCCAAATAAACACAAAAAAATAGAATATTAATTTATTTAATTTTCCAATATTATTTTTAAAAAATTAAATTAATTATTTACAACTAAAATGCTATTGGACAGTTAGGACAAACATACAAAATCTATAGTAGTTGCTCAAAATGTAAACCCAATTGTTCAATACACAATTCACATCTACGAATGATCGAACGTGGTATAGCATTGTTTCATCATATGCATTCCTGATTATGTCTATTCGCATATCTCTTGTGGTTACGGGAGTCTGGTACACTTTTTCTTTTAGAAATCCCCACACAAAGAAATCTAATGGATTTAGATCAGGGGATCGTGGAGGCCAGGCGACTGGTCCTCCACGGCCGATCCATCTTTCTTGATAATTTTCGTCCAGCCAGTTTCTAACTATTCTCGAATAGTGAGCTGGACAACCATCAAACTGGAACCAGGCCAATCTTCTTAAATCTAACATAACATCATCCCACATATTTGCATGTTCAGTCTTTAAAAATTCCAAGAAGGTCGCAGCATTTAACCTTGCAGGCAAAGGGTAGGGTCCAAATAGTCGATTACGGTAGACACCAATCCGCGCGTTCACACTAAATTCATGCTGAAAATTTCTTTCCCGAACTGCACGCGGATTTTCATGCGACCAAATATGTTGATTATGAAAATTTACCACTCCACGTCTAGTGCAGCATGACTCATCGGTCCATAAAACGTTACTTAAAAACTCCTTATTATTATCAGTTCTATCAAGAATCCATTGACAAAATGTGATTCTTCGTTCTCCGTCCCCTGGTTGTAGTCCTTGCACAGGTTGCAAATGGTAAGGACGTCTATGGTCATTTTTAAGAAAACGGTAAACATGGCTTGCTGAAATTCCCAAGGCACCAGAAACTCTCCTAACACTTGTGGTCGGATCTCTATCAAACTCACGCAGAATCGTACGCGTAAATCTGCGCTGACGAAAATTTATGTTTTGATCCCTTTGGAGATTTCCAAAACCATTTTCAATTATTTGGCGATGCACTCTTACAAATACTGAGCGAGTTGGATGTCGTCTGTTTGGAAATCTTCGTGCGTATTCTCTGGCTGCTTCTGCTGCGTTTCCATTTACGAAGCCATACACAAAATGAATATCCGCTAACTCTTGATTGGAGAATAAAAATGGCATTTTTATAAAACTTACAAAAAAAAGAGGCATTCACAATTGCAAAAAAAACTTTTCAGGTTTTAACAGACAACAAAACTAACTGTCAACTAATTGACGTTTAACCTTATTCTGCTTTCCATTTCAAAAATATTTGCAGGCACAGCCTACTTCTAAAAATCATCGAGATACTGACTTTTTAACGTTATTTTATCATAAATAATTAAAAATGCATCGAACCTTAAAAATCGAAATATCTCAAAAACTATAACAAAAATTCACAAGAAAGCTTTTTTATGTTGAAAAGTGCGTTTTTATATTCAAAAAGCAAAAAATTGCACTAAGAAAAAATTTTCGGTCATTTTAATACACTACAGGTACAGTTGAGAGCGCCCTCTAGCGGCTACAGTAAAACTATGCCCATGGTGCGTTTCGTCGTACCAAAAAACCCTTGTATACCAATTTTCAATATTGTTCGAAATATTTAAAAAAAAACCATTTTAGAAAGTAAATTTAAACACCCCGTATTTCGGAAGCCACGCATTCTTCGACCCATGTTTCTATAGACTTTTTGCATTAATTTTAAAAGTTCTATCGAATCTTAAAGTTATGCAACAATAAACTGAAACACCCTGTATAAAATACAGGGTGATGATGGATATAACTTGCATTCTTCTACTACCATTTGAATTGCTGTTTCAGTAGAATACTTTTTTCTGAAACCTGCATGAACTTTGGTCAATACCTTATTTTATTCAATATATTCAATGACTTGTTCATGTATGATTCCATCTAAGAGCTTCTCGACATCTGGAAGTACATTAATTGGCCGCATTGTATATATATAACCCAGAATTTTGCACTTTTGGAACAGGAGTAATTGTGTAACATTTCAATTTTGAAGGAAATTCTCCATACACTAAACAGTGATTCACTAACAATAATAACTTCTCTCCAATGATGTTGAAACATTCCTTCATAACCATTTTTGAAAGATGTTCACTAGGATTTCCATTCGATTTCAATCTTGTAATAGCTTTTGAAAGATGGCTCATATATCGCGGAACAAAAAACCGACAACAAACGGGAACGACGCGCGAACGCGACGTGAAGCCGTGAAGAATACGCGAATGGGATCCACACTCATGGGACGCTGGTAGTTCGCAGCCGCGCGTTATTCGCGCGTGAATCTGGAGAGGGCATAAGCAGTCAAATGTGCGAAGTCGTAGCGTGGTGGTGTGTTTTGATTTTTGTGCATTAAAGATCGGCAAAAAAGAAAGGCAATGACAGGGAGGAGAAAGGATCCCGTGTGGAAATATTTTATGGAGACTGACGCCAAAGCCGGCTCGAAAATAAATAAAAGAGCAAAATGTTCAAGCTGCAATATGGATATAGTGCCACTGGTGGCTAGAATGCGCTAGCATATTAAAAATTGTAACTAACTTAAACAAGGAATTTTGTTAGAAAAACAAAGTATTCATATATCAGATAGTTCTGGTACCCGACAATGGTGATGTTTCTACCGAACCTATTTCCTCAAAGCTATGTAGCTTGGAGAATTGTAAAAAAGGTACATCTTTTTACTTGGAGTTCCGTAAAAAAATATAATGTAATGTTCATTTTCCATGGTTTTATATTTTTTGTTAAATACGATGGGCTGTATACTTTTATAGAAGTTAGTTAAGTAACTTATTTAATGTTATTATACAAGTAAATACACAGTTTTATTATATGATTATTCTCCTGCTTGTAGTGTACTAGTACTACTGTTCAATGCAGTTTATTAACTTGACTCGTTCGTTAAGAAACAGATTTTTTCCACTAGTCTTAGTTCCCTAGTTTCGTGTTTGATTAATTAATAAAAAATTAAGTATACTTTTTAGTATCTATGCGTTTTAACTTATGGCCCTTTCAATTTCGTTTTTCAAAATAAAATCAATTTTAATCATACTTAAAAAAATATAAAAAAAACTTGAATAATTCACAAACGAGGAAAAACAACAGTGTTTCAAACAGTTTAAAACAAATTGGTTTAGAACACCTTCATTGTTTCAATCAGTGTTTAAAACACTTGTTTTAAACATTTTGATTAAAACATAACAACCCTGTAAGTAAATAAAAGTCCCGATTCGGAACAATTTCTTCGCAGATACAGATACATCATGTTCCATATGTTCCTATGAGGTAACAATCACCTATTACTTACATTATCGTTATTTTGAACTATTCCTTAAGGAGCTGAAAGTCACTATCGGAAACTCAGCAAAGGTCGAGGACTATGTCTTGCCGACAGTTGATAAAATGTAAATTTCAATAAGTAAAAGCATGACACACACTATCCAAAAGCTGAATAAACTTCCCTATAATTATGAAGAGCAAGATTAGTCCAGATCCAAAATAAGACTTTAAAATTAACTAGGACATTCAGTGATAGCACAAGGCAAAATGAAAATTTCCTGTCATGAAATATGACTAGCGTATATGTTTTAGGTGCGGACCGGTGACTTGGTTTTCGACTGGGACGAAAGTTTCGAGCTAGACCTAGTCAACAATAGGGAATTAGATCTGCTGATATACTCTTGGGATCCTCAGTACAGACATAAGCTGTGCTATAAGGGATCTGTCTACCTGCCTACACTGCTCAAGTCTGGTCCTATACACCAACTGGCACTGAAGATTGAACCAAGAGGTAAGGGTTACTACGATCATTTATGTTTAATATAATAGCCATATCATATTGTAGCGTATTGTAGGAATTTGTAGAAATATTTAGCCGGATATGCCATATAACATACGTAATGCATTGCTGCCATTTCTACATTTGACTAATTCACCATTATTATCAAGATTGTAAGAACTAAATAATGAAAAAGATGTCACAGCGGACTGATTTGAATAACAGGGAAACAGAGACTTGTCAGATGAAGAAGATCATTTATCTTTAACTTCATTCTTATGGTGGAGGTACCAAGTGTCCATTCTCGACATTGGCCACAGGTTTTTCATAGACTCTATGATTTTAGAAAGGAACTGTTTCGAGTACCACTTAGCTGTGACTGTCTTTTGTGTGTCCAAAGCGACACGCTCCACCATCTCACTTAATTTGAAACATACACCTATCATTTTTTTCTTTACACATTGGGATTTTTTTGGAGCTACGGGTGTTTCCTCACCATCAAAGACCCAAACCTTGTTTTGAGCCTAGGCCTGCACATCGTAACAATGGAGCCAAGTTTCGTCATCTGTCATGATGCTGTTCACATACCAAGATTGTCCCTTATCAAACATTTTCAACATCTTTCAGCACCAAGTCGTACGACAAGTCTTCTGCTCTTCTGTCAGACTATGCGGTACCTAGATAGAACAAAGTTTCCTCACGTGTAAATGGTTATGCAGAATTGAATGAATTGCTGGTGCATGAAGGTGTAAGGTCTCCTCTATCTGTTGGTCTTCGTCAAGCATTTTTCTCACAGTAATGTTTTCCTCTGTTACTGACGTTGGCGGCCTTCCTCCCCTCTCAGTGTCCTCCAGGATGAAATTGCACCTTTTGGATTATCTGTACTACCTGAATATAGTAGTATGATGAGGACAATCATTCTTCAATGCAAGCACCATTTCTTCTAAACACTGGACCGTAAGACTGAACTTATCTCACTACGTGACCACGATGCCATAGTCCGCACTATACACTGTCAACACAAATGAACAACTAAATCAACAGTCGTGCTGCTGGAGGCTACTATCCACTCATGGACATGCAGTAACATGCAGCCTCCTGCGTCCGGTGATTAAGTCATATTGCAAAATTTTTATAGTAACGTTTTATTTGAGGTTAGTGTCGCTAGTTCCAAATCTTCAGGTGTCACTTTTACGCTAGTATATTCGAGTGTCCATAATATTTAGGCGTTAGTTTTATCAGCGTAAATTTCAGTTTTTGAGCTTGACCTGTTCAAAAAATAAGCTCAAGGCCTTTTTCAAATCCTCTGTCGAAGTCTACAGCATGGCATGCACAGATCTCATTCGTCGTTGTTTCAGGAACATTATATCTGCGGCTGAGGCACTCCGACTCATTCAACCTGTACAGACGAAAACCGGCAACACTGTCGCTGACGAGAGCCAATCCTCTGTTCGGCGTTGACCTTGAAACGGTGGTGAGCCGAGAAAATAAGACTGGAGGCGTACCCGGCGGGGTGCCCACCGGCTTGGTGGGCGGTGCTCAACAGAATATTCCTATTATTATTAAGCGATGCGTCGAGGAGGTGGAGAGGAGGGGACTTGATATTATTGGTGAGTATTTTACAAGTTTCAAAGCAAGTGGATAAAGGTGTCATGTAAAAAATCATTGTATGATTGACTTTAAACATTTTATTGGAATTTCTTACTCTATTAACATTTTGAATATTCAGTTTAATTAGTTTGTTATTATCCTATTCTTGCAACAAAGTGATAAAACAATGAAGGAATCACTCTTTAAGGTTAGTTGAATGCAAAAAAGTAATGTCATGACACCTGTGTCTTAAATTATATAACTGCATCATCAAGACTGTCTCCAGTTCTGCCAGCCTTAGATATTTCAAAATATATATATATATATATATATATATATATAGGTATATATACTAAGTGACATATAAATCCGAACACCCAGTTTAAATGGTTTTATTTTAATAAAATTTTGTATAAGTACTTAATGAAGCATAATAGGTAAATGATAAAAATTTCAAAATGATTGCACTGCTTTAAAACCCTTTGACCTTTAATAGTGTGTGGATGCACCCTGATGTGCTACGCATTCTCCAACGTGCCTAGGCATGCTTCTGATCAGGTGTTCAATGTCCTCCTTTGGTATCTCATTCCAGGCAACCACCAACTCTTCTCGAAGTGCTTCTAGAGTCTGAGGAGGACGTTGCAAATTGAGCAATCTCCTACCCATCATATCCCACACGTGCTCAATTGGGGATAAGTCGGGAGATTTTGGTGGCCATGGTAACAATGTGACATCATTATGTTGAAAGAAGTCTAATGTGACTCTTGCAGCATGTGGTCGGGCATTATCTTGTTGGAAAGTTGGATCTGCCAGGGTGTCAAGATAGGGTAAAAGATGGGGTTCTAGAACTTCGTGGATATAACGCTGCGTGTTCATGTTACCTCTGATGAAGATTAAAGGTGACCTGGAACCATAAGCTATAGCACCCCAAACCATAACTCCAACAGTGTGATGAACATGTCTTTCAACAAAAAACTATTGATTCCTCCTTTCACCACGTCGCCTTCTAACCCTTTCACCGACGTAATCGCCTTGAGTGGTGCAGACAACGGTCACTCTGGGATCAGAAATGGAAAAGTATTGTCTTTAGTGACGAATCTCGATTTTGTTTAGGCATGCACGATGGTCGTGCCAGGGTTAGAAGGCGACGTGGTGAAAGGAGGAATCCACAGTTTTTTGTTGAAAGACATGTTCATCGCACTGTTGGAGTTATGGTTTGGGGTGCTATAGCTTATGGTTCCAGGTCACCTTTAATCTTCATCAGAGGTAACATGAACGCGCAGCGTTATATCTACGAAGTTCTAGAACCCCATCTTTTACCCTATCTTGACACCCTGGCAGATCCAACTTTCCAACAAGATAATGCTCGACCACATGTTGCAAGAGTCACAATAGACTTCTTTCAACATAACGATGTAACATTGTTACCATGGCCACCAAAATCTCCCGACTTATCCCAATTGAGCACGTGTGGGATATGATGGGTAGGAGATTGCTCAATTTGCAACGTCCTCCTCAGACTCTAGAAGCACTTCGAGAGGAGTTGGTGGTTGCCTGGAATGAGATACCACAGGAGGACATTGACCACCTGATCAGAAGCATGCCTAGGCGCGTTGGAGAATGGGTAGCACATCAGGGTGCATCCACACATTATTAAAGGTCAAAGGGCTTTAAAGCAGTGCAATCATTTTGAAATTTCTATCATTTACCTATTATGCTTCATTAAGTACTTATACAAAGTTTTATTAAAATAAAACCATTTAAACTGGGTGTTCGGATTTATATGTCACTTAGTATATAACTTCTTTATAGTAGCTCTTCCTTCGCGGTTGCTCCGATACAAAAAGTCTTAACCTCAATATCATTCTCCTTAGTTTCTTGTACTTGAATGTACGAATGCCACTGCCGAAAATTTCGAAAATATCCATAGGCATCGAGCGGGGTGGCCAGCGTCACACGGACTCTTGTGGGAGACACGTGTGAATGTGACATTGAACACATTCTGGTTTCACCTCATAGATCTGCCGGGTTGTACTTTTACTATGCTAGAGGACCAGGACAATCACAGCATTCATACTCAAGAGAAGAAATTGTGTTGGAACAGAAATCGAGCCTGCGCAGCCCGCGCTAACCATGCTACCGGGCTTCCTAGCTATTTTTTCCAAAAAAATCTATATAGGGATTCTCTATTTTTGTCAGTACCATAAGGCGATATCAGTGAGTCTGTGTCCAAATATAATAAAACTAAAACAGAAGCTGTGCGACAAAGAAGTTTTGGTGCAAAAGCTAGGAATAATTTTCTTACTCAAAGTAAGTCCAAATGGACCGTTTTCCAAATTCTTTATCTATTTAAAAAGTATATCATAAGTGTTTTCACTTTTTATATGGACTAAAAGGACTCCAAAGTTCAAATACATACTCAGTGACATTAGAAGTGTTACACCCAGAAAAAATAATTTCATTAACTTGATTTTTTGGCAATGAAGTACTCTTACATCAATAATGAAACGATGACATTACATAACATAACATAAAAATTAGTAATGTGATGGGCGACCCCGCAGCTGATTACGTCTAGGCATCGACAACATTGGATGATCGATGTCTGAATGTGACATCTCATTCCTAGCAACTCAAACTTCGCCGTGGATGTGCTGTGGCAGAGTCTGCGGCGGATGGTGCAAGGTCCATCATACTCCACACATGTGCGATGGGATTTAAATCTGGTGAACGGGGTGGCCGCAGCAAAACATTAAGTCCGTAGTACGACGAGTAATATGAAGACGTGCGTTGTCTTGCTGTGGGTGGCCTTCTTGATATGACAGTAAAGTGGTTTGAATGAAATCATCAATATAAGACGCAGCAGTCATATTGCATTGAACAAAGAGAAGGCGTGATCGGCTACCATAGGCAATAGTCCCCAAACCATTACTTCAACAGTCCTGTGTGCATGCCTTTCAGCAGCAAATCCGATATCACACCGTTCCCCACGGCGGCGTGTCATCCTTGTGCGAACATTGTGCATACCTTGACAAAATGGCGATTCGTCGCTGAAGATGACATTATGCCATTCTGCCTCCCAATGATGCCGTTCTCTGCTCCAGTTCATACGTTGACGACAGTGGTCCGCAGTCAGAAGAAGCACTAACCGGGGACGGTATGAAACAACCTCAAACGCTCTAATGCGGCGATAGATTGTTCGCATAGTAACATGTCTACCTTCTTCTCCAAACCATTGGTCATCGATCTGACGCGTAGTAACAAAACGGTCTCGTAGTGCTAGTTGTCTGCAGTGCCTATCTTGACACTCTGTGGTATGCTCGGTGGACAAGTTGGCCTTCTCCGTATTGCTTTACATTCTCTTCTATCCGCACACACACGCATTACCGTCAATGCGGTACAATTAACACGGTGGCCATTTTCACGATAGGACAAACCAACTCGATAAGCAATAATTTCACCCTTGTCAATGTCGCTAACATGGACGTATTCGAACACGACGCAATTTGTTATACTTAACACTAGTGAATGAAAGCGCAATAATATAAAATACCTGTAGTACTCATCTCTTAGAAACCGATTTCATCACACAAACTAAGAGATAATATTTTCACAAAGGTAAACAATAACAAACATGAAACGTTGATATTGTTGCCACAGCATGCTTTAAACATAGTCATTATGTTGTAAACAATTTTTTTTTAACACTAATGTTACTGAGTATAAAATTTCGCACCACAGATGACTCGTGATGAACTCTAGCGTGACGTAAGCAGTCTGTTCACGCCTTCTTTTAAAATGTGACTACACTTTTGCCACGAAGATTAGATGTAGGAGAAACACTTTTATTCTCCGTCAGTTTGACATGAGACATATGGTCGAATTATGTCGGTACTCGTAATGAAAATCAAATTCTATCGCTTGATTTCTTGAATGGAAGTGTCGAGAATCACATGTGTCGCAGATACCTCTGATAGATATTTTAAATCCATAAGGCATCCTAAAACGTTGGTTATAATTGAAATGTTGAATAACTGTATATCTTGCTTTTGACGCCAGTGGTTACAATTGCTCCTTCTGGGATTATACAGGGTGACTTTGAAGTTGAGTCATTAATTTTCAGATAATGATTGTAGAAGGGAGATAAACCAAAACATGTGTGTAAAAATAAAAAAAAAATGTTACCTTGTTTTATAAAGTATCCTCCCGACAAGTATTTCAGTGCGGACCTGTATTTGATCGTGCGGTCTTGGAGCACCGGCATGCCCTCCCATGTGAGGTCTTAAGCCACCTGATTCACGAGCCCTTTGTACTACATTCAGCATTTTCGTAAACATGTGCCATTTTTTATTTCGTTTGAGCCACGCAACAAACACCACTATTCACTCACGCGTTACCGACTGACACATCGACTAAATACAACTGAATAAAATTGTACATTGTAGTAAAAACATCGTTTCAAATTCTTCCGCTTTTTTGTTTCCGATGCGATGAACGGATAAGGCGGATTATATCCGTTGTTGCCAAACACGAGCACATAATATTATTATTGAGACAGGGCGGTACTCAAACTTCTAAAGGGCTATAACTTTGTTACTTTAATTTTATCAGAAAAACGTTAAAGGAAAAAAATATTTCTTTTGATCAGATCTACTCACTGTTAAAATAAATGACTCAACTTCGAAGTCACCCTGTATAAAGTAGCTTCACAAATGTTTACAAGTAGGCCATGCGAGTACGTTAACAATAACCTATGATCCATTGAATTCTTATGACTCTTATATGCCTATCAAAATTAACGGGATGCCCTACTTGCATTCGCTAAAACTCTCTACTCTTAGTTGACCTTTCCGCTATTTTGTGGTAATACAATAATTTCAGACTTGCATTAAGTCTTTGCAGTGCTATGGAGTCTTGATAGAGATACACCATGGGGCACTGATGATGCTTAGTAGGTACATGCTGCACCCCACATCTTGCTCTAACTATTTTATTCTGCAGGTCTCTATCGGTTATGCGGTAGCGCAACCAAGAAACGGATCCTTCGTGAAGCCTTCGAACGCAACAGTCGTTCTGTGGACCTGAGCCCCGACAACGTGCCTGACATCAACGTCATCACTGGAGTCCTAAAAGACTACTTGCGGGAGTTACCTGAGCCGCTGTTCACCAAGTGTCTCTATCAGATGATGGTAGATGCTCTGGCAGTCTGCTTGCCCGATGATCCAGAAGGAAACGCGAAGCTCATGTTCTCTATTTTGGACTGCTTGCCACGGATTAACAGGGTAAGCCGCAAACTCCATTCATTATTTTTTTGAGATTTGTTTACGCATTTCAATACTTACATCCCAACTAACAATTATCACTCTTATTAGAGTTGCAAGAATGATTAAACAGCATTGTATACTGTAAGAACATTAGCAAAATCCTCTTAGAACTGCTATACAAGCGGAATGGGCACACCTAATAAGACACTTCAGTCATTTAAGAGGTTGTATAAGGGCTGCAGGTAACAGTTATACAACAAAAGTGTAAGCCTCTTGCAGCCGCTACAGGACATTTGCGTCAGTGCAAGATTCAGTTTTTGTCAACTATACAACTATTCTGTTAAGTGATTCTACTTTATTGCAACCAAACTATTTCTTATGTATTGTATAGACGAAGAAGAATATATAACTAACACATTACAGTCATCTTGTTTACTTACATATCGGCCATTGTGAATTTCATACACAGGTATGGTAAAAAAAGAGTGGCATACTATTTTTATTTGGAAAAATAATGCCACCAATTCCCTGTATCTCCGCCACTGGTGCACGTTGATCTTAAGTAAAGACTTCTGAATGCGGACAATACTTAGATTAATCCACATACCAAAATTTTAGTTCATTTCAATTGACGGTTTTGGAGATATTTATCTGTTATCTCTCTCATAAACCTTGCTTTCAAATGTCACCTTTTCACTTTCAGGCGACGCTGATGTTCCTCATGGACCACTTAGCGTTGGTAGTGTCAGCCTCCGATCGCAACAAAATGTCAGCGCAAAACCTGGCAACAGCGCTTGCGCCACCGCTGATGCTGCATTCGGTTGACGCCCCAACCACGCCCACTGCGGGCGGGAAGGTTGACCTTGACTACCAGCAACCCATCAGTGTCCTTAGGTATCTGCTGCAGATATGGCCAACGCCGAAGCATCACTCAGGTAATGTGTGTGCCTGCAGAAACTTGTGATCATCTAGGTGTGCGACTGTGGATAGTCAACTACTTTGAAGTTGAATCAGTTTGAAGTCATTGAAATAATTTCCGTTGAAAAGTAGAGGGTGTTTCAAGGAGTGTATATGACTAGATAAAACAGGCAGTAGAGGAAGAACGTTTACTCTATAATATTTGGCCTTCACTCCTGATCACTGATTTCGATGACGTTAGTGGCAGGTCATTATCCTGAAGAGAAAATGAGGAATTTGTGCTATATCTTTCAAGATAGTCGTCATTGAGATGGAATTTATCAACATCTAGCATGACCTCGGCTCCCGAACAACCATGGCTTCACAAACATGACTTCAGCTCCTATGACCTTGACTCACAATGCAATAAGATAATTGCATTTGGATTCATTTGGAAAAATGGGCGATTCATTATGCGATACCACAATATCCCAGTAAAACGAGGTTTCAAGAATTTAAGGTTACTAAAATATGTTAGAACCTCTGATCAAATAGAACCAGAACTCTGAAGTCAGGTAATAGGCTGATTTCGTCAAACACCATGAAATAATCTTTGTTCCGCTACTCATGAGTTCGTTTATTGTTTGCAGTAGCTCATGTCAAACTTTGCCACTAAATTTTTTGTCCCATCGACTGGCTTCCACCGATTTGTTTAAACGTTATGTGGTACTGTAATCTTGAACGTAGCTACTATTGACACTACAGCCACATGTCAAAAAATTGCCCAACTCCTGATTAGTGTTTCCTTATGATCACATCTTCAGGATAATACTGAAACTGGCGCAGCGGAAAATGGATAGGATTTCAACAATTTATTAGGTAGTACGAGCAGAACCTGATAAACGTCAAGAAGCATGTACTTCTAAAACAATAGTTGTACGAGAAGTTACGATCAAATAGGTCATCTGGATTTTTTTCTATTAATGTGTTGAAGGTTAGCCAGAATCCTTACGTGAGGTTGTTGTACCGTATTTAGAGGGGTGATTTCCAGACAGGTCGTCGCGGCAGGCCACCCGGGCCGCGTGGAGACAGTCGCAGTGCGTCTCATCCCGCAGCCTCGATCACGGCAGCGGCAGCTCATCAACAGGCGGCACAGGTGGCGCCACTCTCGGTGCAACAGCGAGCAGAGCCGTCTCTGCGCTCTCAGGCTCCGTTTCCTCCTCATCCTCGCTCAGCAGCCTCGGCCCAGCGAGGCCCACAGCCACTGGGCCCATCACACCTGATACTCGTAAGTACCTTACGTTCTGTTGACTGTCGCTCGCGAAACACTGACATCCACATACAGGGTGGTCCATGTGTGGACGGAATATTACTCATAAACAAATACATTTTGGGAAAATCTATTTATGATATGTTATACATGACATCCGAGAGCACATGCCTAAAATATTGGCCATCATGCAGGGTGTCCCAATTTCGAACTATATATCAAAGTTGTGATTTTTCAAATTTAATGCCTCAAATTTTACTGCATATTTGGATAAATCAATTCAAATGAAGAAGATTGATATAACATACGTTCACTTCGACAACCCTTCAGTATGCCATTTTGAAATTTGGAGTGCTGAATTTTGTACCAAAAAAAAACCACTTCAGCTTTTATCTTATTTGTTACTTTTTCGAATTTTAATTTTTTGCTCATATAGGACCACCCAAATGGCCGCGGAGGCCGCAGTAGTAGACTCTTCGGTCTCCTGATCAGTCGCCGTGCGCTGTGCGGGTTCGAGTCTCATCCCAGGATAAATAACGCCTAAACACCCATAGGGTACCGTGGTTCTATAGCGGGAAACGGGCGAAAGGGGGACGCCACATAGACTCTGGCGAGGGAACATGAGTTGATGTAACATGCACACATTCTGGGACCGCCTACGGGATCCGCCGGGTGGTACCTCCGCGTTTGACAGTCAGAGACCGTCTACCACCTACGGACAATCACAACATCTATAGCCTAGAAAAATTTCTCTTGGGACGCGATTCAAACCCGGTCACCGCTGCTGCCTTTATCATTTGCTGAGTAAACTTCTTATTTGTCAATACTTTGCAGTAGATAGAAGCTCCATACATTGAGTGCAGAGTCGTTTGGCTCCTATCACTTGACCCTCCCAAGATTGCATTATTAAATTCAAAAGCAAAGCCATTATTTTCCTTAAGAATGTGTTTAGAGCTAGTACGCTTTCTGGTGAATCGCGAAATACGCAAGTGGGGAGATGGGTGGACACAGAGTAGGGATATTACCCTACCTCTTTCCTTCAGATGCAGTCCTAAAAACATTCGGGAGCACCAGCAGTGACCCTATAACGTGTGTGTCTTTACAGTGGCGTAGTTATAGGGTTTATTTAATCGTACAGAGTTGAACGCGTGCATGCTAACATATACCATGTTTGTGTGAATTTCATGATTACGTAAATTTCCTAATTCTGTAAGCATCGTAATAAATGTCACCTAGAAAAGACAGTTACAACATAACTGCTTATTTTCTGATTACATAAAATGTAAGGATTTCTTTGTCAGTTTTTTTTGACATCCTCAAAAATTTGACAAAGTGAATTAATAATTGACAAATTACTGACGAAAGCCTGAACGTTAGACTGAGATAGAAGTCTCACTGCTAAGTGGTTGGCATCTTAAATCGCCGTTTTTTGTGTGACCTTATTTTTAATTAACTTCATATTCAATGCTACTATCTGATGACAGCTGTAGGTCAGATTCGTCGCTGTCATGGCATATTCTTATAATAAATTCCTGGACGTTTCTCCATGTTTCTGGACTGACGCGGTCTAATGCTTGTTTTGCCAATTTAGAAACATCGTCTATTTTGAAGGTGACATAACAGGCAGCAACCTCATTTTTGGCAATGCCCCAGATTTTCTCTATAGGGTTCAGTTCTGGATGGTAGGGAGGCAAGCGCAGAACACCATGACCGTTTTCATCTAAAATCCTATCTACTGCAATGGTCTATGTGTTTGTATTATACGATAAAGTGCAGGTTTTGTGATATTATTATCAAGGGATATACTTTTCAGTGAGCCAATTCTGCATATCTGCTGTGATTTTCTTTAACAACAGGCTTCACATTATTTATAAATACACCTGTAGCTTCAGTTACTCTCTCAAATAAACGGCTGAGACGTATGGTTGATTCCCTGTTTCCTTTTCTAGCTTCATATATTCAAACACATTGAATATAATTTGTCTCCTCGGCTATTAACAACTTTCTTCTTATTTGGTTCCCTATTCCTGAAAAACGATTTTTAATGCAATGTTTCATCTGGTAATTTATAGTAACTTACATGTTGCCTGCCAGATCTACTGGCAGTCTTGACGATGACAGTGTCATAGTTTTTAAAATAATTAAAAATAATACCCCTGGAAAAAATATAAGAACGGCTATGTTACGCGTTCGACTAACAAGAGTAGAACCGAATAAAAAAAATATATATATATATACGAGTATAGAGAAAATTATCATGCGGAGAAAGGTATATAACAAAAATAGGAAAATAGTGGGCAAAATATGCAAAAAGTGGATTCGAGCAGAAAATAGGATAGGCAACCCGAGCGATACGTATTTCTGCTGGTTGGCTCCATCAGGCCCGAAATGAATGCACATATGCAACTACAAAAGTAGATACACATGCCCACACATCCGGATACGGGTGTAACCTGAGGAAACGTTTCCGTATCCGGATGTGTGGGCATGTGTATCTACTTTTGTAGTTGCATATGCATTCATTTCGGGCCTGATGAAGCCAACCAGCAGAAATACGTATTGCTCGGGTTACCTCTCCTATTTTCTGCTCGAATCCACTTTTTGCGGAGTTTGTCCACTATTTTCCTATTTTTGTTATATACGAGTATATATATATATATATATATATATATACATACATATAGGTGAAAAATTAAAGCTTCCGCCTTTAGTTGGGTACTTCGACAAAATTTAAGCAAAGAGGACTCTTTATACTTTTTTAATTCTCTCTAGCTTTCAATGGACTTTGCCATCATCATCAGGAGCTGCAATTACAATGATAACAGTAGCAACAAAAATGTAAAATGAATTTAAATTGACTCAACTTACAGTAGTATGTGAGGATGTTGCTAATTGTTGTTTACGTATAGGATGAGGGAAACGTCCATGTTACTGGACTTTGCTACTGTTATTATTGTAATTGCAGCTCCTGATGGTGATGGCAAAGTCCATTGAAAGCTAGAGAGAATTAAAAAAGTATAAAGAGTCCTCTTTGCTTAAATTTTGTCGAAGTACCGAACAAAAGGCGGAAGCATTAATTTTTCACCTAACTGGTCTAGACGACAATGACCACGTCTCAAGTTATATACATATATATATATAATAAACTAGTATTAACTGGTGTAGTAGCGTTTCCAGCGTATTTTCTCTACATTTTGCGCATTCAAGGTCACAGCCACGAGATTGCTCTACAATGTTATACGTTCTTTCAGGACCAATCATCAGCAAGCAAAGGTCTCTACCGTCCGCTCTCGCCTCGAGTCGGTCCGCCCACTCAGCAGGGCTCAGCAGCGTCGTCGGTGGGGGGCTCGGTGGAAGCAGCACAGGGGGGCCCGGGTTCACCGGTCGCACCGCTGCGCCCCAGACAGGTGATAGTCTCTTCCCCCGGTTCGCCAAGTAGCAGTAGCGATTCACAGTCGGGCTCAGAGTCCGTTAAGGTAAGTTCGTCTGTCTGTGTTTTGTGATGTAGAAATTTGTTTTTCAGATGCATTTTTAAAGCTCTTTCTTACCCTGGCCTGATGACGACGTCGCCAGCATCCGTAGCCAAATTAACCTATTTAAATGTATGGCAGCTTCTTGACTAGTGGCAATGGTTGCCAAAATTGATGTTTCAATAGGCTAGCTTAGATGCTGAGGGTTAAGGGGTAACACCGCTGTAACGGCCTAGAAAAGTATACTTTTTGTCAAGTTTTTTTTAAGGAAATGTTATACAAGGTGATCATTGGAAAACTTCCCACCACGGATTAATCGAAAACCACTGGTTAAAAGAAAAAACTGCGAGACACGTCAAACGATTTGTCAAGGGCGCCAACTTTTTGATCAGGAACTACTTCATCCCCTTTCACCCTTTGCCTCCCAGGGTCATCCCCTTTAAAATTTCAAATAGGAAGGGGTATCGAGTAATAGTTTGTTGTAATAGAAAACATCAACACACGAAAATATCACTTTTATTTCGATGGGTTTTCAAAACGTTGCCCAAACAGTGATATAGGCGATGTTCAAGTTCCTGACGGACATTTTCAAAAACATGTTGTGGGATATCATGGCAGCCTTCGATGATGCGTTGACGAAGTTCATCCAAACTTTTAGGTTGGAGAGTAAACACAATAGATTTCATATGGTCCCATGGTCTTATGGCGTCAAATCAGGAACTCTAGCAGGCGATTCTATAGGCCCTCTTCGCCCTATCCATTTGCCTGGAAACTCGTTGTCTAGCCATTGCCGAACCGGAAGAACATAGTCCTCTTCGATTTGGTTTGCAGTGGTTCCAGTGATAATTGGATTGATGGTATTTTCCAACATATCCAAATAAATGTCTCCATTCAAATTTACATAAATAAACAATGGCCCAATCACTTTGTTTCCTAAAATGCCTGCCCATACATTACTTTTTTGGGAGTGCTAGGTATGCCCTTATACAAAAGCATAATAATAATAATAATAGTAATAATAATAATAATAATAATAATAATAATAATAATATTTACTCACTCAATGTACAAAGAGAACAAACAACATGAGTAAATAAATTTAACATCAAAACAGGCCCAATAGAAGGCACTGCCTGTACATGGAATAATAGTTTTAAGTTTTAACTGTAGAATGCAAATGACAAGAAATGACAAAAATTATTCACAGTAGACTATGTACTTATTTGATGTTCGTATTTATGCGTATATTAATTTCAGTCCAAGACATTGAATGTAGCCACTTTTTTTAATTTCTTTTGAAACAATTCCCGAAATGTAAATCGTTTAAGCCTTTAAGTAATGGGTGATTTTTTTGCTAGTATCTTTTTGGCAACACTGTTTTTGACGGATGACGCGTGAATCGTGTCTTGTGTGATTGTCAAACTTGTTCAGTTTGGTCTATAATTTAACCATGAATCGACTTATGAACGAACAACGCTTGCAAATTATTGAGTTTTACTATCAAAATTCATGCTCGGTTAAGAGAGTGCATCGAGCACTGCTTCCAATTTATGGGCAATTTGGTCGGCCTACTAAGGGAGCTATTCGGAAGCTTGTGACTAAATTTCGAACCCAGTTTACATTATTCGACATTAAACCACCAACACGCAGACATAGAGTGAGGACTGAAGAAAATATTGCGGCTGTATCCGCCAGTGTTAGTGATGACCGTGAAATGCCGATTCGCCGCCGTTCGCAGCAATTGCGCCTCTGTTACTCCACTACGTGGAAAATTTTGCGACATTATTTGGGTGTAAAACCTTATAAGATACAGCTGGTGCAAGAATTGAAGCCACACGACCTCCCACAACGCTTCCAATTTGGTGAATGGGCGCTGGCAAAGTTGGAGGAAGATCCACATTTTTACAAATGACGAAGCTCATTTCTGGTTGAATGGGTACGTTAACAAGCAAAATTGCCGCATCTGGAGTAAAGACCAGCCAGAAGTATTGCAAGAGCTACCAATGTATCCCGAAAAATCAATGTTTGGTGTGGATTATGGGCCGGTGGCATCACCGGGCCGTACTTCTTCAAAGACGTCAATGGCCGGAACGTAACTGTGAATGGCGAGCGCTACCGTGCGATGATAACAAACTTTTTTTGCCCAAAATGGAAGAGCTGGACTTGGCTGACATATGGTTTCAACAAGACGGTACCACATGCCACACCGCACACGAAACAATGGCCCTATTGAGAGGCGAGTTCGGTGAACAGTTTATCTCACGTTTGGGACCCGTCAATTGGCCGCCTAGATCGTGCGATTTAACGCCGTTGGACTATTTCTTGTGGGGCTATGTTAAGGCTAATGTCCACAGGGATAAACCAGCAACTATTGACGCACTAGAAGCCAATATTGAAGCATTTATTCGTGAGATACCGGCCGATATGTTGAAGAGAGTGTGCCAAAAATGGACCTTGCGCATGGGCCATCTAAAGCGGAGCCGCGGCCAACATTTACATGAAATAATCTTTAAACATTAAATTATATCAACCGTTCTATCGACTCAAATAAAGATTTAATCGTTTTTTCAAATTTTTTGTGTTTTTTTTAAACAAATCCTATACCTCTTAAAAAATCACCCGTTATAATTTTGTGAAATTTTGACGCTAAATAGAGTTATAACCGCTGCATTATAGATTTATGCGGCTGAGCAACTACTGTGCCACAAATTTTGTACTTTGGATAAGAGTATGTGCCATTTTTTGGTCCGTGTTGACAAATTAATGGTAGCGAGTGATACTGTGGAAGAAATAAAGCTATCTTATATCATACATTCGTACATCTGCGTATAATTTCTCAGTGGGATAGAGTTTCGGTATTTTAAACATCATTTTCAGAATATTTTTTGAAAAACATTTAAATTACAGATATGTGAGGAACATGCAGCTCCCCATGCTAATATACCATATGTGAAATGAGGCTCAATCAGTTCATGGTATAATATTTGAAGATATTTTTGTGTCAATATGTTCGCAAGATATTTAATTTTGTAGGATTTAAAATATAATTGACATGGATGTCCCAACGAAAGTGAGGATCCAAGACCACTCCAATGAGGCTTTTAATTGCACCAATATCTGCAGTTATGCTTATTAACAAATCCAGATAAAATGTTCATCCATCACTGAAGCAAACATTCTTTACATGAATGGTATTATCATTGATCGCTGCAGTCATTTGTTCACAAAACTCAACTGGCCTATCGGAAACAACTTCGGTTAAGTCTTGCAATATTTTTATTTTGAATGCATGAAATTTCTGAACTTTAGTTACTGTGTGTACAGAGCCTAATGAAATACCAGTCTCAGCAACAATTTTGCATAATAAAGTATTAGGATTTGTTCCAAAATGACCCAAAACTTCAACTTGAGCGGCTTCATTCAAAACTCCCGATGATCAGGTTTCTTATTTACAACAGATCCTGTTTGAGTAAATTTGGTAACAAGTTCCAAAACATACCTATGCGGAGTTATCTTCCCCGGATGTATGGTGCTAAATGTGACGGCAGTTAGCCCAACACATTGATTTTGGGCACAATAAATTAGTAATCATTCCCACTGTTTCGGCTAGTGATTGTCACAAAGATAACTGACAGCAAATTAAATTCTTTCTTTCCCGCAGCAACAATTAACTAAACAGGTATAACAATAAATACATTTGAGCCAGGACATCTGTGTTGATGAAAAGAATGCGGAGAAAATTCGGGTTGTTATTTCGTGATCGCCACCTTCCGAATGGCTGTTTATGTTAGTAGTTTCGGTTTTAAATTATAAAGGAATTGTAGATTTGGTACAATAAATTAGAATCATTCCCACTGTTTCGGCTAGTGATTGTCACAAAGATAACTGACAGCAAATTAAATTCGTTCTTTCCCGTAGCAACAATTAACTAAACAGGTATAACAATAAATACATTTGAGCCAGGACATCTGTGTTGATGAAAAGAATGCGGAGAAATTCGGGTTGTTATTTCGCGATTGCCACCTTCCGAATGGCTGTTTATGTTAGTAGTTTCGGTTTTAAATTATAAAGGAATTGTAGATTTGGCAAACGCTAACGGGCAACAGTTTGAACACTTATGTAGATAAAAAGTGATATTTTCGTGTGTTTTCGGCTAGTGATTGTCACAAAGATAACTGACAGCAAATTAAATTCTTTCTTTCCCGTAGCAACAATTAACTAAACAGGTATAACAATAAATACATTTGAGCCAGGACATCTGTGTTGATGAAAAGAATGCGGAGAAATTCGGGTTGTTATTTCGCGATTGCCACCTTCCGAATGGCTGTTTATGTTAGTAGTTTCGGTTTTAAATCATAAAGGAATTGTAGATTTGGCAAACGCTAACGGGCAACAGTTTGAACACTTATGTAAATAAAAAGTGATATTTTCGTGTGTTTTTGTTTCCTATCTGAAGAAATTAAGATAAATGAAGATTTTTCTAATTTTCTAGAAAACGAATCGACTGATTTTAACCCTTTCGGTACGGCTTGTCACTGAACATTTTTATTCCTACGGCCTGAGACTTTTACATTGGTCATTGGCCTGCCGTCGGAAATATCCGTCACCTGAGAAAACTACCCACATTTTATGAAATAATATGAGCAAAAAACTCCCGATGATCAGGTTTCTTATTTACAACAGATCCTGTTTGAGTAAATTTGGTAACAAGTTCCAAAACATACCTATGCGGAGTTATCTTCCCCGGATGTATGGTGCTAAATGTGACGGCAGTTAGCCCAACACATTGATTTTGGGCACAATAAATTAGTAATCATTCCCACTGTTTCGGCTAGTGATTGTCACAAAGATAACTGACAGCAAATTAAATTCTTTCTTTCCCGCAGCAACAATTAACTAAACAGGTATAACAATAAATACATTTGAGCCAGGACATCTGTGTTGATGAAAAGAATGCGGAGACAATTCGGGTTGTTATTTCGTGATCGCCACCTTCCGAATGGCTGTTTATGTTAGTAGTTTCGGTTTTAAATTATAAAGGAATTGTAGATTTGGTACAATAAATTAGAATCATTCCCACTGTTTCGGCTAGTGATTGTCACAAAGATAACTGACAGCAAATTAAATTCGTTCTTTCCCGTAGCAACAATTAACTAAACAGGTATAACAATAAATACATTTGAGCCAGGACATCTGTGTTGATGAAAAGAATGCGGAGAAAATTCGGGTTGTTATTTCGTGATCGCCACCTTCCGAATGGCTGTTTATGTTAATAGTTTCGGTTTTAAATTATAAAGGAATTGTAGATTTGGTACAATAAATTAGAATCATTCCCACTGTTTCGGCTAGTGATTGTCACAAAGATAACTGACAGCAAATTAAATTGTTTCTTTCCCGTAGCAACAATTAACTAAACAGGTATAACAATAAATACATTTGAGCCAGGACATCTGTGTTGATGAAAAGAATGCGGAGAAATTCGGGTTGTTATTTCGCGATTGCCACCTTCCGAATGGCTGTTTATGTTAGTAGTTTCGGTTTTAAATTATAAAGGAATTGTAGATTTGGCAAACGCTAACGGGCAACAGTTTGAACACTTATGTAAATAAAAAGTGATATTTTCGTGTGTTTTCGGCTAGTGATTGTCACAAAGATAACTGACAGCAAATTAAATTCTTTCTTTCCCGTAGCAACAATTAACTAAACAGGTATAACAATAAATACATTTGAGCCAGGACATCTGTGTTGATGAAAAGAATGCGGAGAAATTCGGGTTGTTATTTCGCGATTGCCACCTTCCGAATGGCTGTTTATGTTAGTAGTTTCGGTTTTAAATTATAAAGGAATTGTAGATTTGGCAAACGCTAACGGGCAACAGTATGAACACTTATGTAAATAAAAAGTGATATTTTCGTGTGTTTTTGTTTCCTATCTGAAGAAATTAAGATAAATGAAGATTTTTCTAATTTTCTAGAAAACGAATCGACTGATTTTAAAATATCATATGTCAAAATGAAGGACCTTCAGATCTTTCAGACAATCTATTACTCGATACCATTTTAAATTTTAAAAGGAATGATCCTGAGGGGCCCTTGGTGAAAGAGGGTGAGGGCCAAATCTTTTGACGTTTTTTTCTTTTAATCAGTGGTTTTTAATAAATCCATGGTGCAAAGTTTTCAAATGAACACCCTGTATAATAAAAATATTGGGGAGAGTTATTAATTGCATAGTTTAGTAGCAAACAAATATAGAAACATCTTCAAAGATGGCGGTACCGCAGCCATTTAAACGAGACACAGAATTTGAGGCGCTCTGGGGCACGCAGTGTAGCTACAAATTTGGATCTAGAAAAATAAGTAACAAGTTACTGTATATGCCTGTAGCTAAATAAATATACTAAGTGACATATAAATCCGAACACCCAGTTTAAATGGTTTTATTTTAATAAAAGTTGGTGAATGTATTTATCTTACTGTAAATAACAAGTGAAAAATTTTTCAGCCTTATCAGTTGGACATTCCGGTTTTTATACTGTTTTTTTTTTAATTCACTAACGCTCTAAAAATGAATATTTCAGCCGCAGTAAAGAATCAACGTTGGCGGATTTTGGTTCTTGACATCCTTTACGATCGGTTACGATGCCTAGAGTACGGAGACCTGTACGATTTCGTCAACTTAGTGAGTTTGATAGGGTCCGTATAGTGGGACTTCGGGAAGCTGGACTTTCTTTTCGGGCAATTGCAGTTAGAGTGCAAAGAAGTGTAGACACTGTGGTTAGGTTTTGTCAGGCATGGCTTCGAGAAGGCCGTACGCAAAGAGCAAGGGGCACTGGACGCCGCCGTAGAACAACAGACCGTGAAGATCGCCGCCTAAGATTATTGGCCTTAAGGGACCGTTTCTCCACTACCAGGTCCATTGCAAATGAATGGTTTGCAGAACACGGAAGACCTATTGGCATGCGAAGTGTTTACCGACGAATGAGAAGTTTCGGCTTGTTTTCATAACGGCCAAACTGGGTACTCCCTTTAACTCGAGAACACCGACGTAATCGCCTTGAGTGGTGCAGACAACGGTCATTCTGGGATCAGGAATTGAACAGTATTGTCTTTAGTGACGAGTCTCGATTTTGTTTAGGCATGCACGATGGTCGTGCCAGGGTTAGAAGGCGACGTGGTGAAAGGAGGAATCGACAGTTTTTTGTTGAAGAACATGCTCATCACACTGTTGGAGTTATGGTTTGGGGTGCTATAGCTTATGTTTCCAGGTCACCTTTTATCTTGACACCCTGGCAGATCCAACTTTCCAACAAGATAATGCCCGACCACATGTTGCAAGAGTCACAATAGACTTCTTTCAACATAATGATTTCACATTATTACCATGGCCACCAAGATCTCCCGACTTATCCCCAATTGAGCACGTGTGGGATATGATGGGTAGGAGATTGCTCAATTTGCAACGTCCTCCTCAGACTCTAGAAGCACTTCGAGAGGAGTTGGTGGTTGCCTGGAATGAGATACCACAGGAGGACATTGACCGCCTGATCAGAAGCATGCCTAGGCGCGTTGGAGAATGCGTAGCACATCAGGGTGCATCCACACATTATTAAAGGTCAAAGGGCTTTAAAGCAGTGCAATCATTTTGAAATTTTTATCATTTACTTATTATGCTTCATTAAGTACTTATACAAAATTTTATTAAAATAAAACCATTTAAACTGGGTGTCCGGATTTATATGTCACTTAGTATACGTAGGGGATTCCAAGAATATCAATTTTTGTATGGTTGGCGAGTGTTTGATTGAAGACGTTCAATTTTCAATGGAAAAAGGTAATAATTTGATAATAAAAAGTGATTAAATTAGCCGCTTACGTATTCTTCTTTTCGTTTTAAAAATACTTGTAAAAAATCGAATGAAAAGAGTGATATTCATTCAACTTGTGCTGCGTGTAGTCTTAAAAATCACGTTTCTACAGAAACGCTGCTGATTCGCCAGAAAGCAGTTAGAGTGGATGTGACCAGTTTTTTCTACGAATTCAAAAAACCAGGTTTCATCATGTCATCCTCACTAATTTGTTTGTTTGTTTTTTATATATATATCGGAGCAGCCGCGCAGGCAGTAGCCTAAATGCCGGAACATCGCGGCTGCTATGATGATCCCGAAGAAATTTTGTTAGTACGATTTTTGAACTGCCTAAGGTTAGTAGAGCTTCCTCTTGTAGATTGTTCCACAATCTCGATACCTTCGGGACAAAGGAGGGGTCGTATCGGCCAGTTTTGGATGTGAGCAATACTCAAGGGTAGGCCTTATCTGGGCCTTGTATAGATTGAGAAGGTCATGCGGAGAAAAGTACTTCTTAGGCCCGTATCGTCAGCCGACTCTACAATTGTAGGGCGCGTTTATGGCCTCCTTGATTGTCATACTCCTTTCTCTCCTTCAACAATTCATAGATTACACTTGTCCCGTGTCAGCGTTAGCGCTTTCCTATTGTAAAGATTTGTTTTCCTTTTAAATTGTAGGAAATTTCAGGCTGATAAAACATGATATAACTCAAAATCAAGCACAATTTGATGCAAATTGATGTTTGTGACATAACCTCAAAATAGAGCGCTGACACGGAGAAGTAGAAAACTATGTCAATGGCCTTAGCCCTAAACAAATAGCCCAGCTGTGTTCGTGCCAAATCAGGTCCTCGGTGATCGGGACTTTGTGTATTGACATGCGAAAAACCAAATGAGAAGCGAAAAGGTAGGTTCTAGACTTCACTTGACTTTCTTCTTTGTTCTAGCACTGCCTGCCCAGCCGCGTCAGCTCCCCAATGTCCACCATTCGCGGCTCGCCCTCCTCGCAGGCCCTGCGCTCCGCCCCAGCTTCCGCCACTGCCTCGGCGGTCGCCTCTCCAGGCGTTCGAAGGTCACCCGTGCGTCATTCGCCCGTCCGGGTTTCCATGGCCTCGTCACCGGCATCGTCTGGGCCTAGGAGCTCGCCGTCCGTCACCAGTCTTACCAGGTGGGTTTTTTCAAATTCCGAGCTATCAAAACATACTCGGCACAGCAGTGGCATGAGAGAGTAGAATAACTGAAAAAAGTGGGCGTGGTTCTGTTACTTCTTGGGCAACTGTTCCTAAATACTGTTAGAATAGGCGCTTCCCGAGTCGTGCGGAAATGTCGCCACCATCCATCATTCTCATCTCTAAGGACGAAGTCATTAAGCGTTTAAAAATGGGAAGAACGTGGGAGCACATTACTTTGCCAAAAATGAATGCATCCTTCAAGTTGTACGACATATATCTACAGCTATCTAAATCTGGGACCATTCCTCAGGGATCATTACCAAGGAAAATTTCTAGTCTATACTTGAATCCATTTCAAGTGAGACCAGGCACAACAACCAGCACGCGTCGCAGGCATGATGGTCGTAGACACAAGAACCGAGCAGGGTCGGACTCAAAACTATGGAAATATTAAGGTGATATTTCAGAACTAAATATTTGAAAAAGAGACATCAGTAAATAATAACACAACACTACTGTCACAGAGTCAATAGAGGTGATTGAAAGTTAAGGGGGGCACAAAAAGTAATTATACATATGTGTTTGACAACATCAATATTTTTCACTGGATGTTGATAATTATCGGTTCAATATGCCTTTCAATTATGTTGTCTAGCTCCCACATTGCAACCTCCACTTTCTCCTGAACATGCTTCACACATTTTAACCATTTTTCTGGTGTGATTCTCTGCAACGCAAGGTTGAACAGCTCTTTCATATCGGAAAACTTGAATGTTGTGTTGTGTTCAGCAACAAAATTCTTTATATCTGCCCATATGAGCTCAATGGGGTTGAGCTCACAGTGGTAAGGAGGCAAACGAAGTACCATTTTATTGTGCGCTTTTGCCATCTCGTCCACTATATATTTATCATATTTTGCTCTGTGTTGTTTCACAAGATCTAGAAGTTGTAATTTCAACATAAACATATCAAAAGGTATATTTTTTGCACGTAGCCAGTCCTGTATCTCTGATTTCTTAAAAGATGAATTTGGATTTTTTTATAATTTCCGAGAATGATACGGAGCATTATCCAGGACCACCACAGAATTGTCTTTAAGACGTGGTAAAATGCCTAAAAACCAGTTTTCCAATGCTTCACCATTCATCTCTTCGTGGTAGTCAGTGGTTTTTTTTTATTCAAAACACCATAGTCCTTCCTTGACGAAGCCATCTACACTCCCGATGTGGCAAATAATGAGCCTTTTTCCTTTGCCTATAAAGATAAAACTTGTTAGATACGGATGTACATTATATGTCTTTCACAAGAGTACTGAGGCCACGGAGATAGGGACACATTTCTGTATTTTATATACGATGCTATATTGTTTCTCATGATAGCGGGATGCATGCGGTGAGATATATCGGACACTTCAACCAATGCATCATTTAATCTGTTGATGAATCTGGTTAGCTTAAAAAACAAAAAGAAACAGGCAACATCAATTAAAGTAAAAAATTATCAAGTGTGACAAACTTATCGAAAAATTTACAAATCAACACAATGTCTGACGTTGTTAATTAACGTGTTACATTCCATGACGGACGAGGTATGTTGTCTCTGCAACGCTCGCATTGCTGTAAAAAATCTTGTCATCGATACCATAAGAATTCCAATGTAGAGAATACATTGATTTCCAGAGTGAACATCCCCTCGTTTTTTCTAGATATCTGATAACGTGTAATGCCTCATTTAAATCACTTTGGCTATGAAAAATTATCTAATAACTATTGTTGGATTTTCTAAAATGGAATGTCTGCATTACCTGTAGGGTTTTTAAGCCCAGTTGAAAGCCCATCTAAAAACGCTCTTCTTGCTGACGTTACTGTTTGGTCCACCCAAACTTTTGATTTTGTATGGCCAGCATTTATCCACGTCTCGCCCAGGAAGTAAATTCTACGGTTTTGGCTCCTGTATGTTTTTATTTTTGTCAAATACTCTCTCCTCCATAGTATAATTTCATCTCTATCCATCAATGAACTGTTTCGGCCTCTCTTCTGCCAATTGAAGTTGAGTTCCTTTAATAGCCTGTAGAACGTCGTTTTACTAAAATTCGGCAAATCTGAGTCTTCATTCACTACTTTCAAAATCTTATCAATTGTAGGAATTTCATTCTGGAAAAAGAATTCATGAACCTTCCTTCTGATCGCATGTCTGTCAGCATCATCTATTTCTTTAATTTGGCTTTTACGGTTCTGATTCGTTTTAGGTTCAGCAAATGCATTCCGTAATTTATATTCTTTGAGTACTCTAAATACCGATGCACGAGAAACTCCAACTTTATTCGCCACCCTCTGCACAACATCGTTGACGCTGAGCTCAGGTTTTTCCTCCGTTTCATATTTGTAAACATTTAAAATAATTTCTTTCACTTCGATGCTCAAATGGTTTTGTCTTGATCGTTTCCTGGGTGGACTCAATTTAGTTCTCCCTTCATCAGCTGTGTCGGTAGAAGACATGGTCAAAAAACACCAGTTATAACAGAACTTATAACAGCGACACTACCAACCTTCTGTCATTTGTCAAATGTTTCATTCTACATATGATCCTGTCCCACACCATTTTGTGCAGCAATAAGTGGCTGGTTCACGATGTAACATGCAATAATTTTAACTTTCATTCCAAATATTTTTAATCCGTTGTGATATGTTCCTGACCTATATCTGTGGATGTTTTTTACCAATGTTAACGAATGTACCATGAATCCAGCTTTCACCAAGTTTCTAAATGTTTCCCTCATCATAACCTTTAATAACATTTAGCAACATACTATTGTAAGTAATTTAACATCATTTTGCACAATAGTTGCTATTTCTTCCTAATGTTATTGTAGCTCCTGATGATGATGGCATAAACCATCGAAAGCTAGAGACTAATAAAGTATAAAGATTCCTCATTGCTTGAGTCTTATCAAAGTACCCAACTAAAGGCGGAAGCTTTATTTTTAGATATTTAGATATATAAGATGAAATCTCGAAGGATTTTTTAATAGTTGATAATTTTCAAGTTCTCTCAAATCTATCAGTGGTTAAAAAACATAGCTATGGTGTTGCCATTTATTAATAAAATTAAAATAATTCCGTCCTAATCGCACCTCATCGGTCCAGTTTTTTGTTCATCGACTATGTGTTCCCTTTCACTGTCGTTTAAGAACAATTTCAGCAACAATCTCGCCGACTTAGTAAGTAATTATATTTTTCTTCCTTGTTTATTTTTGCTGTTTTTCAAAAATTGTTTTTTAGCTCCAGACGATGATGGCATAGACCATCGAAAGCTCGAGTTCAAGTTGTAAGAGTGTACTTATGCAAAACTTTGCCTTCTATTCAAAGAAATTCAAGGATATATATAGGTGAAAAATTAAAGCTTCTGCCTTTTGTTGGGTACTTCGACAAAATTTAAGCAAGGAGGACTCTTTATACTTTTTTTTATTCTCTCTAGCTTTCAATGGTCTTTGCCATCATCATCAGGAGCTGCAATTACATTGATAACAGTAGCAACAATAGTGTAAAATGAATTTAAATTGGCATAGACCAGGTACTCTTGTCGCTGGATATGCTTGATCCAGTTCTTTCGCGTCTCTTCCGGATATCTTAATAATCCAGCGCCTTGCCAGAAAAATGGATATTTGCTCATCTCCAACCCATCCTTGAAATAGGACCAAGACCGACCCTTACAACAACAGACCTATACCTCGGCCTTCTGTTAGACCTATACCTCGGCGTTCTGTTATAAGTAAGATGATGGAGAGGTGCATATAATATGTATAGAGATTATCAAACTATCTATATGAGGCTTTTTGTACTAACCTCAGGCACCTCAAAAATCGGCTCAAAGTTTCGTTACGTCCTGAACTGGCATTTGGGCTTGAAATAACAACTCACTTTCATTGTATATACATATATTTCCTAGACGTTATAAAACAAACTATACATAAGTGCCTTGTCACCAAGCGACCATCCCCCAAACCTTCCCAATGATTCTTGCTGTCAAAACGTACACGGGCATGAAAATGAGGCCCATTATCAGGAATATGATGAACATCACTATTACGATCTCAGCCAGAAATACGATACTCTTCACAATTTTGTCTTTTGGGTCTTCGGTTTCGAAAATGTCTATCAGTCTATCCAACATAAACCTAGCGAAGTAAACGAATCCGTCCAATAGGGGCGCCAGGTTCCATAGCATCACTAGAATAGTGATGGCCGCGGTGTACGCGTGCGTGCATAGTGAGGTTATGAGCGTCACGAAGGAGATTTGTTCAGTTCTAGAAAGTCCTGGAATATAGATAAAGATTATGTTTTGTATAATATCCAAAGGTCCAGGAACGGCAAGTCATTTGGGGGTACAGCACAAGTAACATACTAAAGCGAAAAAAGTAAGGTTTAAGAATTCGTTCATATTGGGCCCGCTTCAATATCTAGTAGGACAATTGCAGGACGCCTTTATGGACTCCTTGATTGTCATATTTTTATACTGTTCCGTGTCAGCTTTCTATTTTGAGGTTATCTTTCCAATATCTATTTGCATCAAATTGCATACTTTTGTTTTATATAATCTGTTATACAGGGTGTTTCAGTTTATTGTTGCATAACTTTAAGATTCGATAGAACTTTTAAAATTAATGCATAAAGTCTATATAAACATGGATCGAAAAATGCGTCCGGTTTAAATTTACTTTCTAAAATAGTTTTTTTTTAAATATTTCGAACAATTTTTGATGTATAACAGTGAAAATTGGTATACAAGGGTTTTTTGGTACGATAAAACGAACCATGGGCATAGTTATACTGTAGCCGCTAGAGGGCGCTCTCTACTGTACCTGTAGTGTATTAAAATAACCGAAAATTTTTACTTAGTGCAATTTTTTGGTTTTTGAATAAAAAACTGATTCTTCGCACTTTTCAACATAAAAAAGCTCTCTTGTGAGTTTTCGTTATAGTTAGCCGTTTTTGAA